GCAGTTGTCCGTGACCACAGACCCCTTGCTGGCACCACAGCCAGATGCTGGTGTGCTAACTGCACCGATGTCCATCTCACAGGGCTCAGCTCCCCCACCGCGTGAAAGCAGCCCAGGACACTGGACACGAATGGCCCGGCTGTGCACCAATAAAACTTTACAAAACAGGCAGCAGAACACTGCCAACCGCTGGTCTAACTGGTGAGGAGTGGACCTTTGGCTTCGATTTAAATGAAAATTGCTTCTTTGACTATTGAGCCTGGAACAGGCTAGCATCCCTCCTCCTATCTCCCCCACTGCTGGGTTCTGAGTAAACGAGGTGCAGAAATCACAGAGACATCCCCCCACAAACTCAGAATTCTCAGACTCCAGTGAAATGGGGCCAAGAAGCACAATGCTTTACTCTGACTTTTTCCTTCTTACACATTCGGGTTGTTGAACCTGCTGCTTGATGAAGACACTGAAGGGCTGGAGCTCCGCGGGCCCAGCAGAGGGCGCTCTGGCCATGAGGAGGAATGGGAGAGCCACCGGGCAGGAGTTCCCAGTAAGATGCACTGCCAGGCCCCAGGCCCCAGGCCCCAGGTCCCAGGCCCGACACAGACCTGCAGGCACCAAGACCAGGCCAGCAGCTCCCTTTTCCTGGGTCAGCCCCTGTGGCTTCACTGGAGGTGGGCATGGAGTCGGGCTTCACTGCAGTGCTCCCCCCAATGTCGCCAAGGCCACCCCTTCCCTCCTATGAGACCAACGCTGGGCTGTTCTGATCCTGTCCATGGACTTCAGTCTCCTCCTCATGCTCAAGCTGGCACTCCCTGCTTGTGTCACCAACTGGAAATCAGATAATCCAGTTTCTGGGAATTTTTGTCAAGAAGGGCTCCCACGGAAGGCCTGGCAGGCCCAGGCACCGCTCTGGGAACCTGGGAGTTTGGGACTCTCTCCTTGTTCCGCACCAACAGAGTGTACTTTGCAAAGGGCTCCAAACCTCAGGCTACCTCGGGGCACCTCGGACAGAACCAACGGAAACAAGCTCCTGAGCACCAGCGAACGTGTCCTGGGCTCCACAGGCACAGGAAGGGCAGGCACTCAGAGGGAGGGAGTGCGGGTCGCAGACCTGCGAGGAGCTTGGTGTTTACTTAAAGAGGAGAAGCCTGGAATTAAGAGAAAATGAAGCATTCAGAGAAATTCACAGACCTCGTTAACTGTCTCAGCAGGAAGTGAGCAAAGTTTACACGTTTCACTCCCAGATTCTGTGCTTATCATCCCTATTTCTAAATTCTAATTTGTTGGAAGACTATCTTTAGACAGATAACAAGTTTTCCAGGATTCTGACATCTTAACACCCACACAGCAACAAGAATAAACTTTGAAGTGAAATCCAAACCCAAGGCTTCTGGGTTTGATAAAGGCCACTGCGCTTCCTCTCTGCCACATTTTTGGAGAGGGCTGTGTGCCCTGCCGAGCTGGATGGTGCTGGTTCCCTGGACCCATGCCACAGGTGGCGCATCTTGGCCCCCTATACCCAGGAAGGGAAAGAACGGCGCAGCTCAGCCCCCACCGAGTGCACCGGATTTTGAACATCGTGAGTGCTGACCGATGGGAACTGGGTGAAAACCGCTGCCTTGATACACTTTTTAGTCTAGAAAAGACACTGAAACAAGTGGAGATGTGAGATTTCATGTTTTACACAAACCAGGTGGGTTCCAACCACCTTGCTGTAGATGCTGTTGATGAAGGAGAAGTGTGTCAGAAAGGAGGGAGCGACTGTGAGGGGGCGAGGGAGCGGCGCCCCTGAGTGTCAGAGCATTCAGGTGCTATGGATGGACTCTGCATTCTATAGACCTGAAACAGGGCGACAGGTCACAGCTGATGGGAGGCCCCAGGCCTCGGGGCAGCGACTGGCCCAGGCCCCCACTGCAGGCAGACTGGAAGGGCCCAGTCACGACCAAGACACCAATGCTTTCTCAGCAGGCCCTTGACCTCAGGGCCAAGGCACGGGAGACACCTTCCAGGGCCAGCCCGCCTCTGCCCTCACCATCACTGCTGCTTCTGATGCCATAAGGTGAGATGACCTCTCTCCTCTACCCTGTTGGCACCCCACCCACTCAGAAGCATCCTCTCAAATTCTCCAGTTTCTCTTCTGGGCTCTCCTGGATAGAGGAGTGTGTGGTACCCCAAGGTAATCACCATGGCCAGCACTTTCGTCAGCCAGGCTGGGACCAGGGTGACAAGTGCTGATGAGGTAGAAAACCATGCCCAGAGCCCTAGAAGGAGGCAGAGTCTGGGCCCAGCCTGGCCCACAGGGTGGGGAGTCTACAAGGCGGAGCTGCCCTGGATCTGTGAATACAGGCTGCCAGGCCTGAGGAGGGTGCGAGGAGGGTGCTGAGTGCTATGCACTGAGGCCCACTGGCAGCCAGGCCCCAGTGGACTGTACGGAGGGAGGTGACTGTAAGGCGGGGCCTTGATCCAAGGGACCTGTGTTCTCACAGCAAGAGGAAGAGACGCAGGGAGTGCGCAGAGGAAAGGCCTGTGAGGACGCAGGCAGAGGTGGCATCTGACACCACAGAGCGACCTCAGGAGTAGCCAGCCCACTGACACGTGGGCCTTGGACCTCCAGCCTCCAGAACTGAGGAGTGGAGGTCTGTGGTTCCAGCTGTGACAGAGCAAGCAGGCTGGACACCAGGAAGCACAGATCCCAGAGGAAGTTGGGGAGGATAGGAGGGGGTGGGGCAGGGAAGGGCCTGGCTGGCCTCCTCTGCCCTTTCCTGCAATTCAGGAGGCAGGTCCCTTGGAAACAGCACCTCACTGAAGGTGTCCAGTGGGCTACGCCTAAGCAGGGCATTGGTTTCTGGGCAGCCCCAGCCATTCTGTACAGACAACATCCACCTTCCTGTTCATCAGTAGTCAGCCCTGTGTCACCTTTACGGTTCTCATTCACCTTTGCACATGGTGAGCGTATGTTCAGACAGTCCCAGTATCAAACCAAACTAGGCTCCTCACACCCCCAAGGGGACGAGTGTAGACGGTGAACACAAGCTCACTTGGTGGCAACTGTCTGACTGAACTGACGGCTGAGAATCCACTTCAGTAAGAGATACTACTGTCTTTCATTTACTTCCAGAAACCTCAGACTTCAAGTCACCCTAAGAGCACTGGACCTGAACTGTCTCTATGATGCTTGATGGTTAAGGCCTCCTGTTAGCCCTCAGCCCAGACCTCCCGTTTCTATCTGAAGATGTGTCCGCTGCTTTGAATTCGCCTTCGGTGTCATTACACAGTTTCTGTGTGAGCCCCATTCTACCAGAAAATCAAACATAGGTCAGAAGTCCAACTCAGCAGCTTCACTCCTTGGGCTGACCGACCCACTTACTCGGGCTCTCTGACAGGGGACCAGGGTGTCCTTCCCAAGGCCCTTTGTGCAGAGCTCAGCCTGCCCCATCCAGGCAGCACCCGAGTGCCAAAAAGCAGGGACCTGGGCTGAGCTCAGGGAAAAGCCTTCACACTGACATGGACGCTCCAGCCAGACCCCCAGAGTCCCCCGTGATTCCTGGTTCAGCGAGCGCACTCCTGACAAAGCGCCTGCAGACGGCAGCCACCGGTGCAGGAGCCCACAGCCACCCCTTCTGGGCAGAGGAAGGACCAGGACACACGGGTGCCTGCTCTGTGGGTAACAGGGCCTCACGGCTTCTACCAACATGTGCACCTGTGACCAGAACCCTCAGCAGTGTCTCCAGTCTGGACCTCATAAGTGTGATGGTTCAAAGCCATGTGCCGTGTCCTTCAGGCAACCTAAGACCATGAGGCTGACGGACCTGACACGGCCACACGCAGCTGCGCCACCCCCACACCGAGGCTGGGAAGCCACCTGACTCTCACGGAGGGGCAGACTGTGCGGAGCACCAGGCCTCATGCTCACAGAGCCCACTGGCGAAGACAGGAAGAGTGGCCTGACCCAGGGGCCACAGCTGCCTCTGTCCCCCGGGAGCTACCCCGGAAGACCCTGCGTCTGGCCGAGGGGAGTGGGGCCACGAGAGCCACAGCGCACTGCTCAGCCCTCCTACCTAGTGGCTGCAGGACCAGCAGAGACCCCCATTGCCCGCAACTTAACCACTCTCACCTGTGGGAGGCCACCGAGGGCACACCCGTCTTCTCAAAGTGTGAAGCGGGCCCCAAAGGCAGTGCAGTGTGCGCCAGCGCTGGCAGAACGAGCACTGGAGATGCGGTGGGAGGCCAGCCTGGCCACTGGAGGGCAGTGGTCCAGGTCACCACAGCGCGTGCAAGGAGCCAAGGATAGGAGTCCCAGGCCTGACACTCACTGTGAGCCCAGTGAGCGCAACGCTGGAGCCATAAATGCAAGCAGCTCTAATTTCAGAAGCTAATTGTCATGCAGTCATTCCATTACACCAAGATTTCCATTTCCAAAACGCAGCTTAGAAAAAGCATTTTTCACATGGCAGGATCACAGGCATCACCATGTGGGCATCTCCACAACAGAACTGCCCGCACCTCACAGGGGCAAGGCCCCCTTTCCAGGCTTCCGGAGCTGGGCTGGCTGGGGTGGGAGCTGTCCCTCCTGCCATTGGTCCTGGGCTGCCCCCCACCCCACCTCCAGCTGCATTCACTGATTTCAGCCCACGCCTCCTTGTAGCTCAGGAACAGCTCCTGACCCCTGTGGGACAGCCCCCCTCAGTGGGCCATCTCAGCTTCCCAAACCCCAGCAGCATGTCCTCAGACCAGCCCTCCGGGCACCTCTGCAGAGCACAGCCCTGCCCACCACACCCCTGCCTCCGATCCAGCCCTCCTAGGCTGCCTGCCCCACCCATCCCCAGCCCTCGGACTCTGGCTCCTTTCCAAGCTCCTCTGAAACACCACCCCCTTCCCAGTGAGCACCTGGCACTCTGGAGGTGGCCAACCAGGTGCTAAAAGGATGAACCAGGCCCTGACTCTAGGCATAAGAGGCGTGCTCTCCAGGAAGCCTTGGCTAACCCTAGACTAGGCACCAGTACCTGGGTGAGAAGCTGATCGGAGGCCAGCTGGTTGATCCAACGCGTGTATCGTTCCGTGGAGTTGGGGGGCTCTCTCCTCACTTGGCAACCTATGATCTGTGAAACAGAAGAAAGTCATTGAGCTCACGCAAGCGCACACCTGCATGTCCACCTCTCACCTGGCACGAGCTGGCCCCTCTGGGGTGGGTTAGAAGGAACCTCTGGAGTCAGGGAGGTGGACACACACTGGACGCCTGGAGCTGTGTCTCACATCAGACACCCCCCACGCCCCCCGCCCCCTGCCACATGTGTACACCTCAGTGATTGACGGACACCAAATCCAGTCACGTCCAGATACTCTTCTTGGACCTTGACTCAGGACATGTGAGCAGGTCAGTGCTGTGCCTCTGGGGCAGCGAGTCTGCACTTCTTGCCTCCTGAGAGCAGTGACCTCAAAATAAGCAAGAGTCACACTTCCCTTGGGGTTGGCTTCCTCACCTGGGAAGTGCCAGGCAGTGCCCAAGAGGCCACCAGACAGGCACCCAGATTCTCGTTAGTATGCAATTCCTCCTCTGTCCCAGAACCCTGGCCTGCCTCCTGGCTATCCACACGCTCCCTTCCGAACACCAGCCTTGCACCCCTGGCCCCAGCATGTCCCCCACAGTGCCTGAAAGGTTTGCATGGAGGAGGCTGACACATCTCTGATGCAGCTGACGCAGGTCTGGAAGGGGCTGCCCTGCTGCAGCTGTTCTGATCCCTGGACACGACCACCCAGGCCACCAAGGCAGAGAAATGGGCCTTTCTCCCCTTTCTGGCTTGGAGTGGGCATCTAGGGGACATCTATCCCCTCAGTGAGACCCCAGGGCCCACAGAACCCGCATGAGGCTCTCACAGAGCTGGCCACAAGCATGACGCTGACGACGGACCCCTCACTGACCAATGAGGACAACGGTAAGGACAATCAGTGGTCGGTAGGACCTACGTCCCCGGATACATCTCCTCATTGAGAGCACCAGAGTTCACACCACTCAGAGCTCCAGGCTGTTGTGACAGCTTGTTCCTCTTCTGGCTGATAAACCAGTTTGTTTCTCTTGCTACAGGACACCTGCAATGCTTCCATTTTGAGGCTGGAAATGGCTTTATTATTAATTACCACCAAGTTTTAGTCCCCTTACTAAGTACGATTAGTCAGCTGTGACCATTCCCGATCAGGTTTGGTGTGATCTCACGTCTTCGTTTCTTTGGGATGAGGCCCAGGAGTATGACGGCTGGGTCCCATGGTAGATGCATTTTTGATTTTTAAGAAACTGCTAGACTGTTCTCCAGTGGCTGCACTGTTTACCCCACGGCTTCTCGGCCCCTCTCCAGCATCCAGAGTCGTCAAGTTCTTTACTTCTGCCTTTTGACAGGTGTGATTCTCACTGTGGTTTACGTTGCATTTCCCTGACATCTCTCCCAGGTGAACCTCTTCCGCCGGCTCATCTGCATCTGTCCAGCCTTGCTGGCGAAATGTCTTGTCCATTTTCTAATTCAGTAAAACACAGCTGGTCATAGGTGTGCGCTCTTTTCACCTGTTGCTGAATTCTGTTTGCAAACCTTCCATATATCTCTTCTAAAAACACGTGCTAAACATACTGCACATTAGAACAGTTCTGGGATTATCGCCCTCCCTCGCGTATGTCTTCCCCACGCCTCGTCTGACCAAGACATATTTTTTTAACTATTACATTAATTTCCTGGTCTTGCTGAAACTTGCTTGCATTTGATTGCTAAACTGAAAAGATTTTAAGATGTAAAAAGGGAAAATGTTGAGGTTTCATTCGTTTTGACAGTTTCTTAAAGGAACGCTGACCTGGACTACAGGGGAGACAGAGGCAGCCCACACACCTGCAACACCCAAGCCTGCTCCTGAGCCACCTGGGGACGCTGCTGCCCCACCCACAGCCCAGCAGACAACATGGGATGCACACCAAGCATTTCACCCCACGTCAGGCTTCCGATGCTCTAGGGCAGAGGCCGCTGTGCTCACCACAGGGCACATGGCTCATCCACAGGCCCGGGTGGTGCTGTCCTCGCTTCTGCTCGACATGGTGCTCCACCCCCCCCCCCCAGCAGCCCCTCAACTCAGGGCCCACCTGGCAGGATGTTCACGAGCTTGTTGCTGATGCAGAGCTCCCTGGGGACTCGCTGATGGCAGGGGTGTCCCACACAAGGGCCCATCTGTCTCAAGGTTGCAGTGTGTGCAGAACACTCCAGGGCGCTGCGCACCTTGGCGAGGTGCCCCTCCCCCCAGCTCCTGTCCCGCAGCTGGACTCTGCTCAGAAAGGTGAGTAGTGGGTGGACAAATGCCACAGTGGGAGCTGCCAGTGATGCCCAGAAGTCCTGCAGAGAATATGCAGCTGTGCTATTTATGGAAGCTGCCGCAGGGGCCTTTCCTTCACAATTAAGTGGTTTTCTTGTAACTTGCTTTAAAAGAGCAGTGACCAAGGGCAAACATACACTTAGCATTCATATCATTCTTTACGAAATATACAATATAATTGACAAAACCACCAACTAGCAACTGCAAATTAAGATTTTTGTAGGTCATGATTAAAAAAAAAAATCCAACCCCACAGTAACAAGCTCTCTGAAGCTGCTTTGTTCTGATGCAACCAGGCTCAGGGCATCCCTGGTCTCCGCAGAAGCCACAGTAACAGCGCTGACCACCAGCGGGAGGGGGACACGCAGGAAGAGCGTGAATTCACTGAGGTTAGCAAGAAAAGCTTTTAACCTAGAACTTAATGAAAATGAAGACTGAGGTAGTTTTAATTAAGATAATGAGAAACAGACATGGTCTGCCTTTTTTCCAAACTCCTCAAGTATCCCTAGTTATCGTGGTCCAGCTGAGCCTCTGCGCAGAACTGCCCACAGGATCTTCATCAACGAGCCCAACTGTGTGTCATCTTCTCTTGTATGAAGAGACAGGTGGAGAACAACACACTTGACAGTCTCCCTCCCGACAGTGTCCACACTGGTAACAGGCTGCTCTGGCAGCTTCCCTATGGAATATGCTTCAGTGCTTGGAAACCACTGTGACAGCCACTCTGAATGAAGCCGTCCTGGGTGAGGACAGCGCCCTCAACTGCTCAGACACTGTCTTCCTCGTGTCGCCTGGTGAGCAGGGACAGGTAAACACAGTCAGCTCGGCGGTCATGTGCAGTCTGAACTCTGGAGACCCTGTGCCGCTGCTCCAGGATCGCACCTCCCATGGCACTGTCACACCTGCCGGACCGGCGACAGGTGTCTACACATGGGCGCCTGCACCGCACTGCAGAAATGACCTGCGAGCCACCACCCCGGACTCCCCACGTGTTCTCTTCCCAGCAGAGGAGCCCACAGAATCATGTGTGCGCCTCTGCTCTCCCCTCATGTCACGGAGGGATCTTGACAGCATCCTGGAAGCCAGTGTACGAGTCCCCATGGAGGAATCCCAGGGTGCCTGATGACTGGGGGTCCAGAGGGTCCAGGTCACACCCACTGCCCAGAGCTGGACATTCCCGCATGGCTTCCAGGAAAAGCAGCTCCCTGTCCCAAGGCTGTGTCCACGCGAGCAGGTAAACCGGCAGTGATGATGCGGCGTCTGAGGTCTGTCTCCCATATTGCTCAGGCTCTGCTGGCTTGTGGCCTTTTCAGGGTCGGGTGGGAGCCGGAGCCAATCTGGGTGCCTGCCACTCCTCCAAGGGCCCTGTGTCCCCTCGGCTTCCACACCCTAGTGCCGTGCCCCAGCTCTGTGCCCACCTCCCTCGTGCTCTGGCTCCAGCTCTGACCTGAGCTGTGGGCCGTGTGCAGCTCTGCTCTGTGACGGTCAGCTCGTGTCCACTCGGGAGGCTGTTGTGGGCAGCTGTGCAAACACCCGTCCGTGCTGCTGGGAAGGGGTTTGGCAGGTGTGACCGAGTCCATGACTGTGACTCTAGGGGAGGGAGGTTATCTCAGGCGACATGCCAGACGGCTCCATCGGGTGGACGTCCCACAGGGAAGCTGTGGCCACACAGAATCCGCAGCTGCCTGTTCACTACCCTGGGGCCGACCTTTGCAACAATGACCCCAAACCTGGCACTGGATGGGCTGGACAGGCTGCCATGGGGAGGCCTGAGCCCCCAGCCCGGGCACATAACTAACATCTAAGCACTAACCAGATACAAGTATTTTATTTGAGACCCAAAACAACAGAGATGGGACCCTGCTCCCTGTAACTCCTCATCCAGTGGGTGGACCCCGGGCGACACAGGTGCACACAGCGGGCAGAGCTCAGCAGGGGCACGAGCTCTCCAGGGACAGGAGGACCTAGGGCAATATGGAGGGACAGCCTGGGATCATGTCCTACAGGCAGAGCCCAAGCTTCCAGGCGGAAGGGGCTGCGGGGCATGCCAGACGGGGCCGACGACAGCAGTAAGCCCACGTGTGAAGAGACACGTGACCCCATGGAGCCCGAGGGCACAGCAGGGATGAGGCCAGGACCCTAGGCGCTGCTGTCACTGCCTGCCTTGGGCCACCTGCTGCACAGTTCAGGGGCCTGTTCCTTCGGGGCGGGGCAGGGGAGCTGATCCTAGGAGTCAGGTGCACTCCCTATGGGAGGAGTCAGCACACTCCATGAGGAGCACGAGGCAGAGCCCTGCAGACACAGGGCCCATGGCCGCTCCCCACACTCGGCTCCTATGGGAAGGTGAGCCCACATGGCTGCTGAGAAGGGTGCCCTCCCCGAGCGCCCAGGAAAATGGTCCTGGAGAAGCCTGGCTCTGGGGCTGACTGTGAAGATGAGAACACGACCACGGTCACCTAGGCAGTGAGCACCCGTCTAGACCTGTGCTCGGCACACAACAGCTCTCAGCCTGTGCTTCTGTCCAAGGGACACCACTGCCGAAATGCTGGTCAAAACAAAACAACAAAATCAGGAACCCTCTGTGCCCATCGGAAGTAGCACATGCTACCCCGAATGAGAAGGAAAACACCGAAGTGTGTACAGGCGGTCCTGAGTGGGCAGTCTCACCATACCCCATCCTCCCAGGGAGTCTGCGTCTGAAGAGCTGTCATGATCTGAGTGAGTAGCAACCGACTCTATGCTACTTGGTGTCTTCTGTTCAGTGTTGAGGTTCAGTGTGTATCTCACAAGGGCCACTCAAGCCAGAGTCTGCATCTGTTCACCATGAGGCCCCCTCGTCACTGGGCTAAAATGAACACTTTGTACACAAGGCCCAGATGAAACATACCAGCTGAGAATACTTTGTTTCTGACTTTCATTCTAACAGTTCCTGTCACTGTTGAAACACTACCTGTGAGAATTCGCACTCAAAGTATTTATGTGTGGATTTCTTGTGTTTTTAGCCAAATGAAGTGTTATCAGTAATAAGTAGATCTCTTCATAACAAAAACAAAGGGCTGTCATGATAATCTCATCAGAGACAACAAACAGAACCAGAGCCGGCACTTACACTTGCTGGGTGCCCAATGGCGGCTTCAAGTTGCAGCCGTACCCTCTGCGGCATCATCACGTCGTCCTGCAGGGAGGAGACCACATCAGCTGGGGGGCCATGGACACGACAAGGAGACACCCAGCAACAGAGCACGACTGCAGTCTGTCAGCTCCATCCCTCGGTGCTTTCCCGAGATGCGTGCAAACGTACACCCACAGAACGTCGTATGTAAGAATATTTGTGACACTTTTTTTTAATCCTCACCCGAGGATATTTTTCTATTTATCTTCAGATAGAATGGGAGGGAGGGAAGGAGAGAGATAGAGAAACATCGATGTGAGAAAGACACATCGACTGGCTGCCTCCTGCATGACCCAACCAGGGCCGGGGACGAACTGCAACCGAGGTACGTGCCCTTGACCAGAATCGAACCCACGACTCATTGATCCTTGTGCCGACACTTTACAGCTGAGCCAAACCAGCCAGGGCAGTGGCACTTTCATTAGAATAACACAAACAGGAAACTGCACGAATGTCAATAAATAGAATAGAAATTAACTCGTGGCCTATTCACACAATAGATAATAAAAACACAAACATCATGGGTGACCACTAGCAGAGTGAAAAGCTAAAAACAACATGATTCCAGGCAGGTGAATCTGAGAACAGGCAGGCACAATGCTGTGTGATGGGTGCTCTCCCTCTCGACTAGGCTCTTAGTTATATAGTGAATACAGCTGTCAAAACTCAGCAAATGGCTCTGGCGTTTGGCTCGGCGGCTGGAGCAATAGCCCGAGGACTGAAGGGTCGCAGGTTTGATTCCTAGTCAAGGCCATGTACTTGAGTTGCAGTTGGATCCCAGTACCAGGCGGGGTCGGACGGGGCACCCAATCGATGTGTGTCTCTCACTCTGTCTGTCTCTCTCTCTCCCTCCCACTCTATCTGAAGATATACAGAAAAATATCCACAGGTGAGGATTAAAAAAATTTTTTTTACCTCAGTTTTAAAAAAACCGGAATAGGCCGGTTTGGCTCAGCGGTTAGAGCGTCGGCCTGCGGTCCGGAGAGACCCGGGTTCGGTTCCCGCTAAGGGCACGTACCTCGGTTGCAGTTAGTCCCCGGCCCTGGCTGGTCGTGCGGGTGGCAGCCACTCGATGTGTCCCTTCACATCGATGTTTCTCTCTCTCTCTCTCTTCCTCTCTCTCCCTCCCACTCTATCGAACAAAAAATGGAAAAATGTCCTCTGGTGAGGATAAAAAAAAAAAAAAAACGGAATAAACTATGACATGCAACAAAATAAATGAATCTTGACAAAAGAAGACTTAAAAGTTCCAAATATTACATACAGCCTGATCCTCTTTTTTTTTTTTTAATCCTCACCTGAGGGTATTTTTCCATTTTTTGTACAGATAGAATGGGAGGGAGAGAGAGGAAGGGGGAGAGAGAGAGAAACATCGATGTGAAGGGACACATCGAGTGGCTGCCACCCGCACGACCAACCAGGGCCGGGGACAAACTGCAACTGAAGTACATGCCCTTAGCGGGAACTGAACCCGGGTCTCTCCGGACCGCAGGCCGACACTCTAACCGCTGAGCCAAACTGGCCAGGGCTGATCCTCTTTTTATAAAGTCAAAAACAACTAAAACATTTTCAATTATGTTCTTCAGATCTGTATAAATAGGGAAAAGCTCAGAAGGGTGCTGACTCGACATCTGGCTGGTGGCCACCAGGAGGGAGGCGGTGGCTATGTGGTCAGGTGACCGAGTGAGCTCTAATTCTGGACAGCAGGTTCATGGGTCCTTAAAGTGTTATAAAAGGAAACACAGGTACAGCCACGGAACAGAAAGACACAAATGGAGCACACGTCACAGGAGATGAGGCTGTTCTGAACCAAGGACCGTGACTTTCAAATCTGTGCTCCTGGGACCCTGAGCCCTCAAATTAAAAGAAAGGAGATCACAATGGAAACTAGAAAATGGAACAATAACTGAGATGCTACATTCAGAAGTTCTGGGACACCCTATAGCGTCAGACTGCTGCATCTTTCTCTGACACCCACGCCCAGAATGAAGACCAAGACATCCAATCCTGGCAGCTCCCCGTCTCCGCAGAGTCCTGTGACTCTGAGCACCCCGCCACCTCCACCTCCCAATTTCTCCGGACCACAGGCCGACGCTCTAACCGCTGAGCCAAACTGGCCAGGGCGACCTCCCAATTTCTGAGAATGAGCAGGCCAGGCATCCAACCTGCTCTTTCTGTCTGGTCACTGAACGCTACAGGGTATTTTCCACCCTCCTGTCTCCTCTCTCCTCCTCAGACAGCGGTCAGTGGTTCTTGACCCTCCTGTGTCCTCTGCTTTATGGTGATTGTGCTGACTTCTATCACCAGCTTTCAGCTCGGTGACTCCTGGGATTCTCACCATTCTAGTCTAGGCCCCATATTTTCCAACACTTTTACCTCTGTTATGTCTTTTTTCCTTCCCTTCAGAGAACAAAAAGAAAGTTACAGGAGAGACCATGTTGAGGAGAGGGTGACCTGAGTATTTCTCTCTTCTTCCAAGACAGAAACTAAGCTCTTCAAGCTGGGATCTCCACTGGGGAGACCCTAAGATACTGCGAGGATGGGGATGTTCCAATCTAGCCCCGGCTGCCAACTCAAATGAAGTTACTATTGTCATCAGAGAAACATACATGATCACTAAAATAGTTCAGAAAGAGCAAACTTAAACTAAAAAATGAAAAAGGAAATCACCGTATGCTTTCACTTCAAGACCATAAAAAGCAGCTCTCAGTGTGGTGAGTAAAGCTATCTTTGTCGGACACTATCTTTGTGAAAATGTGGGATGAACCATCAGAGTGTGAAAACAGGCCCAGAATAGGATCTGAAAGGAGACATCGGAACAAGAGGGATGCTGATGTGACAGAGAGATCTGAGGGGTTTTCATCTCAGAAAGAAGGGAGATGAAAGAGACCAAAGCAGCAGGACAGGAACCCACAGCCCTGCTGGGGTTTCAGTGTCAAGAGCAGGGTTGTGTAACAGGCAACTTCACGTTCTCCCCAAACTTCCACTTACAGGTTCCTGGTCGTCGAGGAAAAGGCAGAGTCCATATGCAATGAGAACAAGGTTCCTACGTGAACTAATTCAGCACGGGCAGAAACTCAGCCAGCGCTGGGCTGGAGAAGGAAACCAGCAGCCCCCAAGGAAAGCACAGAAGACTGGGAGCTCCACACCCCAGACTCGGAGAAAGGAGTCCCAGGGAAGACTGAGTACAGGTAAGTGTTCTTCAGGTAACTATAGAGAAAAACCATCCCTGCGTGTACACTGCGTATGCAGCCATGTGTTCCTCTCACCCATCACAATCGGCTGTCATGTCATCAGACAGCTTACAAGGCAGTGACTCCCTCGGATCTGCAAGGACCCACTTCACTTCCCTCTTCTGTGCCGGCCTGTCCGCCTCCCCCCAATGACAGCACTGATGCTTCTGTTACGGAAATCTCCTCCAGAACCTCAGTGCCCTAGGAGTGAGATGTAGGTCAAGGGCATTCGCATTTCTATAAAGTTCTTGATACAAAATACAAAATGCAAAAGGATGCTGTCGACAGCACCAATTCACACTTCCCAACTACCAAGCATCTACAACTTTAAAAAATTTGGTTCATCTGGCTTTTAAAAGTAGTGTCCACTAATTTAAGTAGCTTGTGTTTCACTGTAAAGGGTGTGAAGCCCCTGCTCCCGCCCTGACCTGTTCACCACCACCCACTCTTCCTGGTTTGCTTGTCATACACCTTACATGAATTCTTCGGCCTAAAGGCTGCCAATCTTCCAAGTATCGTATTTGTGAGCACCTTCCCAGTTTGCATTTTTTGTTTATGTGATTCTTTGCTATGCAATTTTGCTTTCTTATGTAATCCTACTTATCAAAACATAATTAACTCATTAAGTGCCATGGTAATTAAATGGCAAAAACCCATCAACCTTCACTTTTAAGTCTAATCACAATACATTAGAATGATAATGTTGAAAACCCATACTAAAATGTAAGATCATTTAGTTATGCAACCAATCATATAAAATGTATATAAATTTTAAAATAAGTTACTTACCGAATCCAAAAAGCAAAGGTAAGACCCTGAGCTCTGTGCTATTGCTTGGTTCTTAGAATATCCAACTGTTTGAAAAGAAAAAGAAAGGCCCTTTATGATTAATTCTCAGTGGTGTCCTCTTTCAGAAAACCCAGTGTGATGTACCCTGCGGGAAAGCGTGGAGCACACTACACCTTCACGTGGAAGTGGGTCCACCTCCGGAGTGGGAGGGAAGAGAACCATGCTCCGTGTTCAGTGGTTGACACAGTAAGCACGACGCTAACCCACAAAGGGCCCACCAGCATCACATGTTTAATCTGCTCACTGAGGAACACACATTCACAAACCTATATTGAGTACAGCACTAAGTAATCTAAGCTCTGGGGAATATGTTTTTAAAAACAAAAGTAGCCTGGCAGTGTGGCTCAATGGATGGAGCATCGTCCCAGGGACTGAGAAATCCTGGTTTGATTCGTGGTCGGGGCACATGCCCGGGTTGCAGGCCCGGTCCCCAGTAGGGGGTGTACAGGAGGCAGCTAATTGATGTTTCTCTCTCATATCGATGTTTCTATCAATCTCTCCCTTTTTCTTGCTCTAAAAAATCAATAAAAACATATTTAAAAAACAACAATAAAATAAAAACAAATTAAATGTCCCTGAATGGAAGGGCTGAGGTAGACACTGGCAGGATGCTTTGTTTTTAAAGGAAGGACTGCTTTTGCTGTTGTTGTTAATCCTCACCCAAGGATATTTTTCTTTTCCATTGTTTTTTTTTTTTCTATTTTTAAGATAGAGTGGAAGAGAGGGAGAGCAGAGAGCAACATCAATGTGAGAGAGACACATCAATGGGTTGCCTCTTGAATGACCCCAACTGGGGCGGAGATCGAACCTGCAACCTAGATACATGCCCTTGACCAAGAATTGAACCGGAGACCCTTCATTCCACAGGCCAATGCTCTAACCGCTGAGCCAAACCGGCCAGGGCAGAATGGCTTTAATGTATTATTTTAGAGAGAGAGAAACATCAATTTGTTGTTCCACTTATTTACGCATTCATTGGTTGATTCTTGTATGTGCCCCGACTGGGGATCAAACTTGAATGCTTCGCGTATCGGGATGATGCTCTAGCCAACTATGCTCCCTGGCCAGGGGAGGAATGCTTCCTACAATGTCTCTGCGGGTAGAAGTCACGACACGATCACCTAGTGGAAGGGGTGACATGGCTGCATGTGAGCAGCTGGTCAAATCCCTGACTCTGGGCAGCTACCTGAGCACATTCAGCAAGAAGGCGACACTGCTGTGTCTGCAGGTGAGCGTGTGCATGTCCTGCGACCCAGCAGCTCACTGACAGCCACGGACCCAACAGGACGCATCTACACTGTTCAAGACGTGACTTTTTTTGTTTTGCTTAAAGTAAAACTCCAGTGAAGAACGGAAAGTGGTGAACACACCACAGTGAGAACAACGGTCCTGGGTGACGTGCAGACACCTGCGGAGCAAAGCAAGCCCAGCACGGTGGCAGACACTCTGGTGATGTTTACAAGTACAAAGGCAGCAAATGCATCTGTGCTGTTAGGAGTCAGGAGAGTGGGTACCCCTGGGGGAAGGGGGTGGCTCCAAGGGGATTAGGGGCTCCTGGAGGCCGGTAATGTCAGCTGTTCATCAGGTGCTGGCTTTATGCTGTGTTCAGCTTGTGAGAATTCCTTGAGTTGTACAATTTTGACAAGTGCGCTGTTCCGGAGATGTGGTCACAGAAGAGGGAGGGACCGAGGCTGCTGGAACTTAGGCAGACACCCTGGCACAGAGCACACTCGTTTTAAGGAACATGTGAGGACGAAGGGTGATGTGCGAGCACCAGGCTGCCTAGGGCAGGTGAGCACAGCCAGCTTCTGCGAACTGTTGTCAGGCTGAGACAGGGCCAGCGGGAACGGTTTCTGAATAGGGAATGCTGTGTGGAAATTCACACTGAGCAAGCTACGTCTGGGTGCTGAAGGCAGGGCAGATTGTAGGAGTTATTTAACCCCAAAAGAAGGGGCTGAGGAGACTTCAAGGGGTACAATGACCACTTTCCCTAGAGAAGAGGTTGCTGACGCCTAAACTGTGCTAACCAGACAATTACATATTTGGTGCCACCAAGAAGTCACACAAAGCAAAACAGATGGATGCCCAGTTACACAGTCAAAACCAGACAACCTGGAGAAGGTTATAGGTCCCCAGGGGACACTAGCAAAGTGTCTGTTTCAGGCCACATCCAAGGTATTTCCTGATTTACTGCTATAAGGAAATCACCTCTCCAAGGCAGGGAAAGGGCAAGTCCCTCCTGTTACTCAGCTGCTCTGGAGCACCCAAGTCAACCACAGTGCAACAGAGAAGTAAAGACGATTAACAGCCATCCGCCCTCACTCAAAGGCTGACCCAGAGCAATGCTGTTTTCACACAAGGTAGCAGCTTAATTTCTAGCATTAATCCTAAAGCTTAGCCAACCCAAGCCAGTAAACAGAATCCCAGACTTCAACAAACTGCAGGTATAACAAGGCAGAGAATAAAATGCAGAGGTCTTTCTCTGGGCTTGCTTTGCTTTGCAGTGATGATGGAGACTTAGCTACAGCTGTTTTGGTGATGGCTGCAAAGCAAGCCCAGAGAAAGACCTCACGGGAATCAAAACCAAAGAGCAGCATGTGGAAAATGAAATATAGGAAGAGACTTTCCACAGTGATATTTAAATTAGGAGGAGTTCTGCTTAAAATGTCACTTATTAGAATTGGGGTTCAGAAGGGGAAAAATCAAACCCAAGAATTTGGGTAATGAAGGAACACGCTGCTCACTAAGGAAGCTGGAAGTTTCCCACAATGAATCTTCTGTTTGGCAAAGACAAGGAATTTGCTTTAATATTATTGCCTTGAAGAAAGTCAAATGTTTGTGCCAGGGCCTGATGTTTGGGGAGGCCCAACCCTTTGTGAGGGGAGCTGGTTGTCATGGTCACAGAAGAAAAAACTCAGGCCACAGTGTGGCATCAACATTCCTTACTCCTGGAGAGAAGGTGGAATTGTGTTTTATTTTTATTTCAGCAAGTGACCACATCAGTAAGAAATGTTTTGTTTGCTCTATCATGATAGCAAACAATAAACGAATCTTAATCCAATTAAAATAACTCAGCACTCCTGAAAATAGATACTTTGGATCTATTATATTTCCTATTTAGGAAAATATGTCCTTTCAGACATGATCATATTAACTCAATTTTGTTAGTGTGTAATACAAGATCCATCTTGCCCAATTTAAAAAAGACAACAGGATGACTCCATTTTTTCACACTATTACAACAATTTTTGTTATTCATAGAATACATACAAACGTGATATGGGTCAAGTTATATTTAATCCACAAAAAGTACTTTATTAAAGACAAAACATGTTGTTATCTATTGATTTCTTTTTTGAGAGAGATCGATTTGTTGCTCCACTTATGCATTCACTGACTGATTCCTGCATGTGTCCTGACTGGGGATCGAACCTGAAACCTTGGCGTATCGGGACGACACTAACCAACTTATGTGGTCAATTCAAGTGTTACTCAGGAGGCTTTTCACCAGGATTTAAACAACATGAAACTACTGATGTACACGAGTTGGTAAGAAACCATTCACTACAGCTGAATAAAAAGCTAAGCATGGTAACTGACCTCCTCGGGGAGAAGGAGAATTGTGCCCTCCGACGACCACCAAGATACCGGAACCTTCAAGCTTTACTTTCCATTTTTCAATGATAGCCATAGACCTGTCCTAAAAGCAAGAGCACATTGGCAGGTCAGGAAACGCCCATCAGCGCAGTCAAATGTGACTTAACACGGGGGCAAAATCATCAGTGGGGAGTATTTAAGTACCTTACTGGCATCATTAAAAACTGAGAGCTCCATGGAACCTTCAAAGTCCTGCTGCAAAACAGACCCCAAGCACTCGTCTAGCCAGGGCTCAGCATTGTGGACAGGGAGGATCACAGACTGGAATTCAGAAAAATGGGTTAGCAGACAGCATGAACACTGAATTCACCCAGCACATGCTCACTTCGCACAGGACCAGGCCTGAGTACAGAATGACCCAGGATCTGGCTTCCAGGGAAAGAATGTGTGGGGATAAACACATGGGGTCTCTGCCTTCTCTCCAAGCTCTTCACTGCCTTATGCTCCAGAGATTTATTCTGTGTCACTTGTCCCTGATTTGGTCTTTGGGATGTTTTTTGAAAAGGAAACAAAAATCTGAATAGCATCAAAAATGTTCCCAACTCAAAGGCAAATTTATGGTTTCCAATCACTGGTCAGAAACACCGTCATTTTGGTTGAAACAGCATCTGCGCATCTTTCAACTCAGTCATGAAAATAACTGATGGGTCCTTCTCTGGGTGGGATAAGCCTTTCCAGTAAACCATGACGTTGGGGAACAAAGAAACCCTTTCAAGAAGCACTCCACTGCTTCACTGGGGCGGGAGCAGGCAGGGGAGGTGCGCCCGCTCCTCCTCAGCCTCTCTGCACTCAGCAGTGTCGGCCCTTTCCTCGGCCCAGGTGAAACTAGTTTCTAGCGCACGAGGAAACCCGTGAACGCGACTGCCCCCAAACCACCGACCGCGTCCGCACAGGAAGCACCCAGACCACCCAGGTGTGCACGAGCGCAGGGTGCACGAGCGCAGGGTGCACGAGCGCAGGGTGCACGAGCGCAGGGTGCACGAGCGCAGGGTGCACGAGCGCAGGGTGCACGAGCGCAGGGTGCAGACACGTGCGAGCACGCACACGTGCGTCGGTGTCACTGGGAAAACCCTCCGTGCGGAAACGGCCTTGCGATGCTCAGGGAGCTACAACCACGAAAACCCAACCCTGCCACACTCTCCCGGGAGGCTCTGACCCACCGCGTGTCAACCACAAGGGGGTTCCGTCCACTTACACATGTACTCCACTTTGGACTGATTTTTTCAAGAAAAAGGAAAAAGACTACGTCTACTCAAGATCTAGCCTACAAATCAGGACGTGAGTTGTCACAGATGCGGCCGGCGCTGGTGGCTTTGGGCGGAGGCCCTCTGCGGAAGCCCAGTAGTGGGGGCACTGCGAACCCGGGGACCGGGGGCAGGAGGCAGAGGGGCAGGGGGGACGGAAGGGACGGGGACGGGGGCGGCAGCCCGCGGCCCGCTACCTACCACTAGGGCCCGCATGGCCACCCTCCTCCTCCTCCTCCGGATGCCCCGCCCTCTGAGCCCACGTCCGCCCACAGCGCGTGCGCCGGAGGCGGAGCCGAAGCTGACCGCCTCTGATTGGTACAGAGAGACGTCGATCTGGTGGGGCGGGGCGGGCCGAGCGGGGAGTGGAGAGGCGCGGCCTAGAGCGGCCGGAGGACTGGGGCCGGCGCCCCGGGAAGGCGGCCGCGGCCTGGCCTTTCGGCCCTGGGAACCCTGTGTCCCGGGTGACAACTCTCTTCTCCCTGGACCCCGGAAGCCCTCGCGCCATCACCAGAGCGAGGTCGTCAACTCCGAAGTCCTCAGTAGAGTCGAGTGCCACAAAAGCACGTGGGTGCTGCAAGCCTTCGTGGGCGGGGCGTAGCCTTTTGAAGAAGGTGGTGTGTGTAAAGGAGGCAGGTAACATGTCATTTGCACCATCTGACCTGAGATCCCAGGAAGGCGGTTGGACGAGGAAGGCGCTGTTAAAGCATCTTCCCACCACCAGCGCCCTGCGCCCCGCGGTGCCGCCCGGTCCTGGAGACCTCGTGGCTGGATGTCGCGGCCCGAGGTGGACGGGCTCCGGGCGGGAGCCAGGTGGACTAGTGCCAGCACGCGCAGGAGTGAGAAATGTGCCCAGCTGTGCCCAGCACTGTGGTGCCAGCACGCACTCGGGTTCCCCCTCATCTCAACTAACCAGCGCGTTCACAGCCATCGCTGCCAGGACTGCTCAGAACTAAGGTTAAGTGCACATCCTTCTACAAACTGACCATTACGACAGAGCCAAACTTCTGTGTGAGGCATCCCTTCAAGTGTACCTTTTCCTTAAATCGCATCACTATTTCCAAAGCCTGTTGCACAACTTGAAACTCTTAGGTCACGTGAGTAAAAACTGCAGCCTTATCTAAGGTGGAACACAAGCTGTCAGAGAACTTGTTTCCAAGGACCTAATGTTCTCTGGGGGTTGGTGTATTAGGAATAGTGTCATTTTAAACGACTTGGTGAAAAGTCACATTGTAGCTACCAAAATATGGGGTCTGATTCAGAGCTGGGCCCCAGTAATCAGTGGGAGGAAGAGATGGGGTGGTGTCTGGCACCACACATCCCATGGACCAGACTTGGGCTTGGCTGCTCACATCTGGCTTTCTGTCCATCTGTCTGTTCCCAGAAATGTGCTTTTTGCTGTGTCCGTCTTAATAAAAATTTGGTTAGAAGCTGCTTTTTGCAAACATTCAGCAGTATTGTGGCTGGGCGGGGGCCTAGACGGTTCCATTCACGGTAGGAAGATTCCCAGCAGAGATCCTGGGGAGAGCCATGGTCAGACGAAAAGATGAACAAAGTCAAGGACACCTGAGGGAAAAGCGATGTACAACGTCTACTGCTTGTGTTTGGTTCACCAGGTGACATTTTCTCTACCTTTGTTTTTGTCTGTTTGTTTGTTTTTATCCTCACCTGAGGACATTTTTCCATTTTTTGTTCAGACAGAGTGGGAGGGAGAGAGAGGAAGAGAGAAAGAGAGAACCATCGACGTGAAAGGGACACATCAAGTGGCTGCCACCTGCATGACCAACTAGGGCCGGGGACAAACTGCAACCGAGGTACGCGCCCTTAGTGGGAACCGGACCCTGGTCTCTCTGGACCACAGGCTGACGCTCTAACCGCTGAGCCAAATCGGCCAGGGCTGTTTGTTTTTTTAACGCAGACCATTTAGTGAATACTGGCTAGGGCCTCTGAATTTTAAAACTGCTCACCAGCCTTCTTACGGTGCTGGTGCAGGAGGCGAGGAGGTGGCTGGGCCCAGAGCTGGAATGGGTCTGCCCTGAGTGCGTCGTCAGGGGTGTTCAGTCTTTAACGACAGCCTAACCTCCAGGGCAGCATCCTTTCCAAGTGTCCTGATGGGATGAAACCCATCAGAGCACTGGCAGGACCTCCCTGGGCAGTGGATGCTGCTAGGACGGTCAGAGCTGCCCAGCGCTGTGGAGGACAGCACCCTCAGACTAGGGGACTGGCTGCCCATGGTGGCCAGAACACCCTGATAATATATCTGTTCATGAGGGAGCAGCCACGCTGTCTGAGTGTGTGACATGCACAGTGTCTCATTTTTTAAAAGGCTAGTCTAGACTCACAGGGTTGATTTAGGAAGCCAGAGCTGGACTTCCTACCAGGTGAAGGAAGTAATGAGGTTCCCATCACAGAAAGAATTTAATTAACAGCTGAGAAAACATTTGGTGTGGATTGGTGGGAGCACTTGAGTATCGCATAGGATGTTTCTTTTGGCCTGGGTGCCGCTCCCTTAGCCCGGAAAGCAGAGCCTGAGTCTGGGCCTGTGCAGTGAGGGTGTTTGTTCCCAGGAAGCTGGGGATAGGAGAGTGAGGCAGGGAAGGAGAGGGGGCCAGGGTGCTCTGTCGAGGGGCCTCCCCATTGTGGTCAACTGGAGCTGGGGTCCTGACCTTCCCAGAGCCCTGGAGCGTTGTCTGCCTATGCTCAAAGGAGAGAAGACTTTACCCCCTGGGCCTGTCTTTTGGGGTGGCAACTGCAAGATCCCACAGTTGTTCCCAGTCCATGGGTGTGTAGCTCACTGTAGGTCAGAATTGTGTGCAGTGGCCCATCTGGCCTGAGTCAGGACCCTGAGGGTGGTGAGGGCTCAGTGGCAGGTCAGAAAGGCAGGAGGCAAAGTAGAACTGAGGTGTCCCCTCCAGCGGTACAGTCAGCATGTGGGGATGCTGCTGCAGTGATGTAAGCCAACTGCTCTTCAAATCCTGGCTGACTGACAGGTAGGTGACAGGTACCTGTGGGAGCTGTGTGCATGAGCCAGTTAGACAGCTTCCTCCTAAAGGTTAATAGGGCATTTCATCTGTGGGAGAAGGGGCTCGGTGCATCCATGTCTGATAGAACTTGGAGGAGGAGTGGGGGAACCAGCAGTTTTGGGGTTGGACCCCAAAGCTTTCTTAACTGGCTTTTACTGGGAGACAGTCCTACGTGAATCTCTTACCCCCTCTCCCCAGCAACCAAGAATGCAAAGGCTTGGCATCCGGTTACCTGGGCCATCAGGTGAACAGCCTTGGGGAGAAGGTGGTGCTGCCCTCCAGGAGTCCTTGCTTTGCTTTCTGGCTGGTGAAGCTCAGGTCCTCTCCTGCTGTGCAGCCCTGCAGGTGCAGAGTCTGTCTGGAATGGGGGCTCAGGGAACCCCTGACCCTCAGGTCCGTTGCTCTGAGAAGTCAAGTCCTTTGTCTCAGACATAGGAGCCTTGTATCTCCTGTCAGCACAGTGAGAATGTGGCAGGCACCTTGTTGGTTTGAAGTAGAGAGAAACCTCCACCCTTCACAGTTCTGGAAGGCATCCCAGGACACCGTCAGGTTGGGGGCCCTGCCACCTCCTTCCATTCAGGGTCCTGGCTCTTGGACTGTAGCTATGAAAAGCAGTGGGGAAAATCAGTGTATAAAACCCTAGGGTATGGACAAACACTTTTATCTTTTCACATTTTAGGGCCTCCCCACTTCCTCAAGTCCCCCAGCACCCTGCCAGCCCATGTGCACCCCATCTTCATGTGAAATGCTCTCAGCACTCTCTCTCCCTATGTGGGGGTGGGGCCCTGCTGCTGGCAGAGCCCAGTGGCCATGTGAGCCACCTGCTGACTCAGGGCCAGGACCCAGCAGCCGGGAAACCAGGGAGACGGCTCCCAAGATGGGACCACTGGAGGGCTGGGACGGCCCTGCTCACCTGCCAGGTGGACACACACACTGACTCGGGCAGTTCTGGCCGTGAGCACATCCATCGCCCAGTCAAGCAGAGCTCCACCCTCAGCGAGTTCACAGGCCCTCTGCACCCGGGCTCCTCAAATCCCCAGGGTCGATTTGCTCATCTGGGAGAGGTCGCCCCTGGAAGGCGCTGGTGGCTGGCTCACCCTGCAGCCTCCGGCCCAGAGCAGCAGCAGCAGCAGCAGCAGCAGCAGCAGCAGCAGGCAGGTGCTCAGGGAGAAATGAGAGAGAGAACAGGAGCAAACCGAGGGAATCTGCCCTGTAATCAGATATTTAGATAAGACAGTGTCTACACAGATCTCATTAGAGACCTAGTAACATGAAACCATCTCAAAGTGTTCAAAATGCTGTGTAACTGATTCACATGGTAACTACGGAAACTGCCAAATACCAGATGTGCCCTGTCTGAAATAAACTGGGTTTGGATTATCTGGTTATTTTAATCAGTATGGACAGTAAAGTAGGCTCTCCCAGAATTTACACTGTCTGGTTCTATGGCTCAAGGAGGCAGCTGCAAAGGAGGGCCCCTACCCCACCCCAGCCATGTCCAGTCTCTCCACAAAGTGTATGGATCTGGCTTCTCTGGGACCGTATGGTAACTCAGGGCTCATGCTCTCCCCTCTTGGAGACCCGTCCAGGTTGCACCAGCCTTTTGCTGGTCAGAGGAACCCCTGATCACCTCTCACCAGCCACCACCTGGGTAACAGTCATCCCTGCACAGTGGCCTTTCCGAGGGGAGAACCTTCAGCTCTCTCTAGGAGAGGTGGGTATTGCTTCTGTACTCGCTTCAAAGTTTTAATCAGCCCTGTACAGTTTGGCTCAGCAGTTGGAGCATCGGCCCGCAGGCCAATGAGTCGCGGGTTCGATTTCCGCCAAGGGCATTTACCCTGGGCCCTGGTCAGGGTCATGCGGGAAGCAACCAGTCGATGTGTCTCTCTCATACTGATGTTTCTCTCTCTCCCACTCTATCTGAACAAAAACAGAATAATATCCTCTGGTGAGGATTAAAAAAAAATAAAATGGACGGGACCCTAAGCAAATAGGAATAAGCTTAATTTTTTTTAAACAAACTCTCAAAGGCAAGAGTATTTTAGAACATGTCTTCTGAGGCCTTTTTAGCCCCACCCGTCCCACCTGTCGACAGGACTGCTGTGAGTTGTGAACTAAGGACACAGAAGAACAAGAAGTAATAACAGGCAAAGCTGGGCATTGCCCCTAAACTGCGGCTCTGGCAGGCCGCTTGCTGGGTTTGTGCC